ACGCGGGGAGGGGGGTCGCTAGCAGGTGTGCGTGCTATTTCAGCAAGCTTTCAATGCGAAGAGACTGTGTGAAAAGAGCTCTTCTCCCTAGAGTGGCCGTATTTTTTTATACCAGTGTTTCGAAGGAATCCCGCTATATCAGATCCAAAAGAGTTGGCTGCCAGTCTTACTTCATTATAACATTATATATAAGTTGTTGCTCTCGCATTCACTGCATTGCATTAAACGGACCGTCGTGTTGCCAGGGCTAATTGCGAAGGTTAGAGTTCATCGAACTGGCAGCGCACTCTGAAACACGTGATGACGAATCGATCTCCGAAGATTCGTTGTTGTTACCGTGGTCTCGGAAAGTTTATATCAGCACCCAATCTGACATTCCCTCAGTAGTGACAACCAGTGCTACGGAATAGAAGCCTCCATTTCATTCGATTCCATTCCTCAGGGAATTGGAACTTGTCGCAATTCCATTCAATGTAATTCCTTGGAATAAAAAATATTAGCCCGTTCCCTTCCTGGGAATGGCAGGGTCGTTCTATTCCATTCCTTTGATTCCTCAATACAGGAAATGCATCCTGATAATATTATTGACTTAAAAAATGAACGACACCATAAATACAGTGTCATGAGATGCATTAAGAACTGCAAAAGTACGTAAAACACGTTGCTAAGGTCGACAGTTAAAAGCTTGGTGGCATATCTCGTGCCGAAAAACCACCCTATCAACTCCCATACAAGCAGTTCTCCCCCTACATATAGTATTTGCACGGGCGGCATGTTTGAACAAATTGTGATATTTTATTTGTTTAAGCTTATATTTATTAATGCTAAACTGGTGACATAGCATATTCTTATGTTGACAAATGCAGTGTTCAAGAAAACTAAGCAGTTTTGTCCCATGTCCTGAGCGGTCATGAATATGAACAAAGCTAAAATTTCGTTAATGGGGAACAAAATGCTTTAGATCTGCTGGTATTTGATGGAACAGTGCACCATTACTAGGGCACCTTGTGCCTTTGCATCCAATACGCAACACAGGGCCGCACTGCTCGTTAGCACTCACGCTTGTCAAGCGCACATCGCAAGCATTGATGGGGTGAGAAGAACTTCGTGTTCGACTATGCGCAGGTATGCAATGCCTTTCATGCCGCAAAGGTTATTTATGTGTGCCAGGTACTAAACTGCTCGTGAGATAAAAATAAGGCCGGGCATAGAGTATTTCCCTTTTTTGTGTGGCGTATCAATGAGAACCAACGTGCGAGGATAATTTGTTTCTCCCTTCAGTATCTGTTGAGATAATGCATTCGTTTGTATGCCAACCTATGCCATGGTTTCTTTTTTACAAACTGGCAGATTGTTCACACTTTTATATCAAGCTTACTCTTGGCTTTGGCTAACTAAAGGTGAACCTAGAGAATGCATTGTGGGCTTCAGACTTCGAAAAAGCATGTACTGAGGCCGACATGACTAATTTGAGTATGATATTACAGTAAAAACTATTAGCGGTGTAGAAAAATACTCCCAAATGTACTCATTGTTTGGCAATGCAAACACGGGTATGGGCCGAGTCGTAGGAACCAAGCGAATTTGCAAAAAGAAAAAAAAAATATGACGATAATAATGAAATGATGCCACCCCGGAGCACTGGGAGTGCAGGATGACCAGCTCTCAGCTCGAGATTCTGGAACTTGTAATCTCCTGGCCTTGATCTCTCGGACGCCTGATCTTCCATACAAGTTCGGCAATCAATCACTAGATCCTTGGTCACTAGCTGGCCTCACAAAAAGTGCTCAAGTGTCCTTCAGTTTTCTACATGCTCCAATTATGGTTGCAAGCAGTGCAAGATGCAAAAAGAACTTTATTTTGATTTCATTCATAGAAATGTTTTGATTTTTAACGGAAAGTTATGAGCTGAATAGGCGATTCGGCATGCAGTTTTAAAACCAGTATTGTGAGTGGACAGCTCCTTGAGCGGTTGGGTCTTATAAAACGTGAGATAAGACAATTGCCGTCCACTTAACTATGTGTTGCGCTTCCAAAACATGACCTGCTCAAGCGTGAACCACTGGACGCAGGAGCCTATGTGGTACTACATTATGGTAGTGCTTCTTCAGCCGCCCGGGTGCAGCAGCGCCACCACCCGGGTGCGGCAGCGCCACCACCCGGGCCTTCTCCCCCTCCACCCTCTAGCACAAAGCGAACGTGGGTTTAGTTTGGTGCGTGAGTTTTCTTCGGGAATCGGGGAGGCGCTGTGGCCATGGTTACATGGGCTTTCCTGCTTCAGGCAGCTTCAGGAACCAATACTTTTAAATGGTTATTATTTCTCTCTGTCTGTACAAAGTGGGAGCGCCCACAGTTCATCGCGCAGGACTGTGAGCTGCGCTGTTCAGAAGACTTCGCCGACAGAGTTTCAGGCGAAGGCGCTCATGTGTCTAGATAGAGCGGAAAGTATGGCAAAAGAGGGGGGGGGGGAGTAGGAGGTGTGATTGCAGTGAACAAAAGCATCATGCCAGCATTAATACGCATTATGCCTGCATTATTACACATCAAAACTTAGAAAAGCATTTTTTCAAACATGCGTCCGAGTTGGCCAACGGTGACAAAAGCTAGCACAAAGACATGAAGGGTGCGAAGACAGCAGACGGCTAACAGCACTTTAAAGAACACGTGCTCCATTTTCAATAAAAGACATAATTCCACTTCCATTTCATTCTGGCGTCACGAATGATTCCGATATCATTCTAATTGTGGAGTGGTGATTCCGCAACACTTGTGACAACACGATTCTCCGCAATAAAAAAAAAAAAGAGCTAAGCTGATCGTTGCCGCGGGCCACACCATGCGCATGCAGTGAAACCATGCATACGCGCACGCTTGGTATCGAAAAAAAAGAACCGAATGACATGGATATCATGAAAAACTATTTGATAAATCACCCTCCATATCCATCACGGCCCCACATATGTGACGTTAACTGAAAGCGTGGCACTGCCAATGCAAAGGTAGTTTTCTTTTCTTGGTTTGGAGGGGGAGGGCACATCTTTGCATGTGGCTAGAGCGGCAAGAATGGCAGTAACACCGGCTCATGAGGCGCAGGCCTGCCTGTCCGCCTCTCACACATCTGCGTGCTATAATGAGCGCTCACTCTCGCCTGGGAGTCACCAAGGCTACGAAGCTGCCACCGCCATTGCTTTGCGCTTCGGCGGCGGCGGGGCCACCCCGAAAAATGCATGCTCCTGCCAAAACAACAAAATATGGAGCGAAATTTCTAGATCTTACCGTAACGAAAATTAGTTTTATCAAGGTTGACTTTTTCTGTTACTTTGTTACGTAGAGGTCGCAAATAATGTGCTTCCATGGAGTAATGACAGGGAATAGAAAAAATTCGTTAAATGGGGGAATTCATTATATGGAGGTTTGTTATAAGCAGGCTTAACTTTAACACAAATAGAAAGGACTACATGCGACATTACCATTACAACATTAGAATTGTTGCTATTGCATTCATTACTTCGCCGATGAAACTCATTTTCATTTTCCAATTTATATGGTTCAATGGTCTCCATCGCAGAGCTCGCGCTGTGCTCGGCAATGGTGCAGAGAGTTTTTAGCAACACCACTGCCGTCTTTACAGTTCGACTAACAGCCTTGCTGTTAAAACATATAAAGAGTCGCATAATGAGGTATGCACACAAACGTGGCACCTTAACAAGATTCATGCATTTTGTTCCAGCGGCGCGAGATTCATGCATGAACTAAAATGCGACTTGACCAAACTACATTTGATATGAATGCGGTTGCGTCTTTTGTGTAGCCACCGAGTGTTGCCCGGTTGATGATGAAACTCAACTAAATTTTGCATTGCAGGTGCAAATTGCCATTTAGGCGCAGAAGGTCAGACTGGCACAGAATGATGCAGCACTTCCGCATCTGCATATGCTGAAATCGCCACCTGCACCATCTTTACTCGGAGACAACTTTCAGTGGCAACGAAGGGAAGGCTACGGAGCCAAAGTGAGCATGTGCGACCGCTGTAGAATATAGTGCCACGAGTACGCCCATGTTTTCTGCGTGAAAGTAAGAAAAATGAACAACATTACTTTCTACTAGATGCTGTTCATAAAGAGACGCTGCACACGTCGAGGCGATACCATTATTTGTTGTTGCTTTGTCAAGAGTCATTTCGCATTCTTGTGCGTCTGAAAACATTGAACGTTTTACGTGCACCTCACAATCAAAATGGCGTCTTTGTCATTAGGTCCAGCTATTCCGACGACTCGCGGAAGGAGCTCGTGTCAAATTTCTCTCACAAATGACTGTGTAAGCAGGCCTATCAAAATGTGTGCAGTAGGATTACATGACATGAACGCAGCCATCATTCAAAACGCAAACCAAATCGGATGACTTCGCGGAAGTGTAAAGGAGCAGTAGCTCCGCGAATGTTGCCTTCCCTTCATAGCCACAGAAAGTTGTCCCCGAGTATAGTGGCAAGCCATCTCTTGTCGAGAACACTGCTCCAACGAAATTACTGTCAAACGTATTGCTCGGACGTAATGCATCAGAGAAATGCTCTCAAAAGCAGATGGCTCACCACTAGACTGCGTGCTGACGACCATGGTCCATATACTTTTGTTCATGGGTGTAGGTAACATGTCTTTTGCTCAGCCTCTTCCACCCACGTACTGTAAAGGGGTCGACACAATAACAAGGAACATTTCTAGCAAAGTTACTTTCTTAGCTTGGCTACAGCAAAAACACAGTCAAGTGCAGACTCAAGAGGCCGGCAAGAGATGTCGCACGTGAACCAAACACAAGGATTGTGCGCCCAGAAGCCACTAGGCAGAATTGAAGCAGCGTATGACCTGGCACCCCAATGGACAGATAAGTAAGACTAGACCAGCTGCTGTGTCACCTATTTGGCAAGATCGCAAGCAGACACATTCACGAAAACCTGGAAAGGTACCCAGAGAAACCTTCACCTTAAATGAAACCACGGTGCTCACCCGTGAGTTACTTGCTGGCTTCTCATCACCTTTCCGGCGCACCTCCTCTCGAGCACGGTTCAGAACGGCTGACTTGTGAGCGGACGTGCGACTCTCGTCCCTGCTGTGCGATGATGACTTGTGGCTGTGCAAGGAGGCGGAACCCGAGGAACTGCGCTTCGCGTCTCCTGAGCTGGAAGACGGCTTTTTCGCCAACTGAGACGATGAAGAAGAGGAGCCCTTGTGCAGCGGGGCCTTGGGCTTGTGCGAGTATGCGTAAAAGGTGTCCTCCTCCTCCTCGTCTTCAGCAGCTATCGACTTGGACGATGAGACGGGCTTCTTAGAGATGGAAGAGCGCGCATCCGGAGGTCGGCTGCCATTCTGCAAAACAATGACGACATGCAATGGCTCTCATCACATTGTGTCGCTGGAAAATTCTGTGAAACTGCCAAGCTTTAACATCTAAATTTTTACAGCTGAAGCGCGAAAAAAAAGTAGACAGCAGACGATGTCTAATGTCTAACCCATTCCATCTCTACACATGTCTGGTATCTTTCTTAAAGAGCCTATTTACTATGAAACCATATTAATTCAATGTGCTACAAGGATGTAACACACTGCAGTGGTAATATTGAACAACTGCTTTTCGAGACGACATAACTTCTAAAAGTTCACATGCAGCTCAGCACCAGAACCATCACCCTATGTCTTGCACACATGCGCACCTGCTCACAGCTAAGCTACAGAAAATATCTGTCGGGCCGATGGGCCCTTATCTGCAGCATGCACGGTGGAAGCAGGGCGAGAAGAACACATGTGCATTGCACATGCGGAGGACGAGCGTCAGCATCCAAAAAAGCCACAGGAAGCGGAAAAATGGCTGGCCAATAAGGAGAGAGGGGAGACGAGCACGGCGGCTTTTCGGTTGCAGGCCAGCGATAGAATGTGGTGGCAATCGCGCTAGGTGCAATGGGTTTTTCTTCCGTGCGCGCTACAGAGGAGAGGCCACGCGGTTTGGGAGCATCGGCTAAGGCCAGTTGATGGCGAGTATTCTACATCGAGTTGCGTGTGAGTTTGATTCCCTGCTGTTATGTTTCACGCTGGCTTTCCTGCTGTTGTTTCGCTGCATATGTTCCATTGACTGCCAGTCTGCGGGGATTGTTTGTTCCAGGTTTCGGTTCTTTTGTGTGCGTTAGTGCCATATTGAGCTGGTCCTGAAGGCTGTTTGTGATCGTTTTCAGTTGTGCAATAAATTCGGTTCTTGCTACATGCATTGCTGGCTGGTGCCTTGCGAATTTTGGCTCACTGACCCCCCTGAGCGGAGGCGGGGCCCTCATATTATGGAAGAGATCATGTCCCAGAAAATATTTGTTCTGGAAAATCCCTCCATGGTTAGCAAAAAGCATGGATTGCTTATAACATAAGTAGCGGGAGTCGCAGTGATGTGATTGGCAGAAGCCATTTTGGAGCAACCAAAAGTGAGTTTTGGAGCAGGAAAGAAGGTTTCCGGAGCAGCATTTTTGAGCACGAAAAAGTGCTTCCAGAGCAGCCGAAAGTGTATTTTGGATTTTATAGCAGGAAAAAAAATTTTGAGGCAACTAAAACCTTTTGAGAGCAGAAAAAAGGGCTTTTGAGCCGCTAAAATGCTGCGTAGTCAGAGGGTGGCAGATCAGGCTCGTGCCCCCCCCCCCCCCCAATTTAAACATACAGTTGAGCCCACATAAAACGGCCCCACTTAAAATGAACTTTCGCTTAAAACAAACAATATCCGCGTGACCGTGAAAATATACATTAATTCAATGGCACAAAATCGCACTTACAACAAACGTCTCCAAGCGCCGTTGATCGGTTACAGCGAACGGAGCCAGTGGTCTGCCGACTTCCCGGGAAACCAATTTCGACCATTGATCAGGCTTCGGCAAGGTGCCCATACATTATCATTGTTAAACACCGACCCTGCCTTTGTGACCCTCTAGTTGCCCCTCTCTAGTTGCGAGTCGGGGCATGGAGGAAGGAAAGCTGTTTCCTTCCTCCATGCCCCGACTGCTTTTTCTTACACGCCCCTCCGTCCTTGTCCCCCCGCTACTCTGAGCTCCCCGCATCGCCAGACGAGGCCCGTGTTTTCACACTGCCACCGATCTTTCGAAGACCGGTCAGCCATCTACACTGTTTTTGATTGCTGGTACTGTCGTTGGCATCGCCGGCCTGGAGTGATCAGACCATTTGCCAACATCGTCGGCCACCAGCTGTATCCGATAGCCTCCATCTAGTGCACGTGCGTACGCTACCCCACCGGTTCTCATAATTTGCGATTCATTTCGTGTTTAGGACTTGTTCTCGCTCACTTCGCACTTGGCTCAGCATGCCCTCTGTACGCATGTGGAAGCATGAAAATGGCTGTTAATTTGCACGGAATAAATCGTGGAATATCGAAGTTCGTGAGGCCACACAAACGCGCCGGCGCAACAAAACGATTTTTCGACCGCGGGCACCGATTCTTTGAACACCGCAGCATGCACCGATCCAGGCGGCCATGCTTTGACTTCTGCGCGTGCAGGCACTGTTTCCAAGTTTTTCTACGTGCGAGTTTCGCGGACCTTGCAAACAAGCTACCCATGGAGGAAGGAAAGGAAGAAGAGGGCATGCCCAGCCGGCGTGCTACGTGAAAAGTGTGGAAGAAACGACATCATGGCGGCCATATTCACTGGGCACAATGGCGCCGTTGCTATAGTTATAGTTGCTATAGTGTAGTGCAGTGGAGATGGTTTAGCAGTGAGCGGCCGCGGCTGGCAGCGGCATGTGTGCCTCCCCAGGTCTCGTGCTGAGCCGTGGCGGACAATATCCGTGCTCAGCGCCGCGTTATTGGTTGCGCAGTGTTCTCCTGGCAGTTACTGTACTCTTAGCAACATTTACAAATCCTTTTGTCTATCACGGGTTTTTAACAGTGCGTAGAACGAGTGCATATCCATGTGTCGTGCAGCGGATGACGCGGATGAAGCAATTAGTGCTGGGCACCATGACGAAGTGGAACGGAGACGAACGCCTTGAAGGTCAGTGACGATTGGGCAGTGCTCCTGCTTGTGACAACGGACGACGCTGTTAAGACCAGCAAGACGCAATGAGGAACATGTGCACATACGTAGTTTCGTGTTGTGTGCGTACAGTAACAACTTGCATGTGTGTATTAAGACACCTTTTCTGTTCCGCTTCGTATACTCTCCCACAGCATTGCGGGTAATCTCAATGTAACAGCAACTGCGTTCAAGTGTCACTTGCACCGTGCTCAAAGTCACCACGGTCACAGAATGCTGATGTCGGTGAGTTTCACGCGGAACACGGACCCAGTGGCCGGACTTCCATTAGTTTCAGATCGTCACATCACGAGCGCTGCGCAGCTCACGTGCTTTCCGAGCCTGAGAGAGAGTCGTGCCTTCTGCTTTACATTCAGGTGTAAACAAGGGAGGAGAATTTGCCCAGCCAATATGGCCGACTTCCGGTTTCATCGCAGCTTCACGAGTGACGTCAGGGCCTCTCCTACCTTTCCTTCCTCCGTGAAGCTGCCCACCCTGCCTCCTTCCCGTGTTTATCGGTTTTCAAGGTTGCCCTCCTGCCGCAGCCTCCCCTCTCTTTATCGCAACTATTTGCCCTTCTCTCACAAGTCTGCTCTCCTCTCTTGATCACAACCCCTTCACCTGTCTCCACTGCTCCGCGACGCCCGCCACACTGGCTCGAATTAGTCTCGTTTTCTCACTGGAAACGGGCGAAGAGCTGTTCCACGCATTCTGGCATGTATCTCGCGTGTGCGCAACTTGCTCGCTTTTGGTGTGCGTGTGCAGTCATGATGGCCGACGGGAGGACTAGCACGCTTTTTACTGCCACTCAACAAAACGTCGAAACTGTGACCGCTTAGCTTGAGTGTAATCCAAGCGTTAGGTGCCGTGTTGCGGAGCGTTTGCTCATAGCTGTTGACCACCTGGTAGCCAACTTGCCTCTTTGGGCGTCCCGGCATTCAACTCTGGAGGTGATGAATATTTCGTGGGCGGCGGTGACGGCTACATGCGCACGAAACCTTTTACGTGAGGCTGACTTCGTCGACGTCGGGCCTGATGCCGAGCCTGAAGCTTCTGAACTGCGGTGGCGATTTGTGGCAGCGCATCGTCGACTCCGACCTGGAAGAGCGGGTGAAACATCTATTGCGATGGTTTAATTACGGTCGATGATGATGCCGACACTGCGGAACCGTGCATAGATCAAGGCATTGTGAATGAAGTCCATGGCGAGAGCGATTTGGAGGAATCGGATTGCAAGAACGACGAAACTTTGGAGCCAGTGCCTCATGCAGCTTATGCTACGGGCCTCGGCGAACGAGCACCCTGCTGTTTTAAATCAACTCGAGACTGCCCTTATCGCTTCTGCTCTTCGAAACACGTGCATCACGGACATTTTGGGGCAAAAAAAAATATCTGTTTTCATTCGCAACTTTTTTTAAAAAAGCTGTGTTTCATTTACTACGAACTTCGTCATACAACGAACGGATGCCGCGTCACGCTCAGGTTCGTTATAAGCGGGCTCGACTATAATATGTATATAATATAAATATATATATATATATATATATATATATATATGTGGAAAAGAAGTGTATACCTAAGGGCTCGTTTTTCTGTGTTTTGACACAATATTAATGAGAATCAACAGATCTAACAGTCTGTTAAATCTCATTATTATTGTGTCAAAACACGGAAAAACGAGCCTTTAGGTATACACTTCTTTCCCTTATTCATTAACGAGGGTCTTGTACTGGCAGACTTGGTGCCGTTCGGTTGTATAGGAGGGACTATTGTTCAGCTGCCCGCTCGTAATAAGTTCATGTGCCACGTGCCGCCACACAGGCACATAAAAGGGTGTTCCACACTCGCCACTATGGCTATACATGGCGCTGACTGACACTCCCACGTTTGAATTCACATATAAACCCAATAAAGTGGCTGGGGGGATAGCCGCCATGATAGCTCAGTGGTTAGAGCTTCGAACACGTTATTCGAAGGTCGTAGGTTCAATTCCTGGTCACGGCAAGTTATTTTTTCACCCACTTTTCTTTCTTATTTACATTACACTGGTTCTAATAACTTCCCCTATACATTCCTTGTCTGTTAGACCTCATATATACGTATATAAATAAATTTTTTTTTGCTAAGATCCCAAATCAACACTCAACCACACATTCCACCTGTTCGGCTTTAGATCAAAATGCCCCCCCCCCCCCCCCCCAAAAAAATGCCTATGCCTCTGCGCTGAAGGCTAATTGCCGAGTGGAAAACTTGAATTAGTGAGAAATAAAACAGCTAAATAAACCACAACTCAGCAGCATTTCATGAAGC